TAAATTTGTGAACAATCATAAATAAACGTTGCCAAAATATCTTTAATTAATAAATGCCTTCTCTTATATTTCAGTGAAATGAGACTGACACAGTGAGAATGCAACGTGGTATAAAAAAAAGAAGCAAGCTTGAAGCAAAATTAAAAGACATAAATTCTGCAAAACCATCTATCCGTATTGCTACACCGAACGTTGTTATTTCTATTTGAGAATAGATTTTCACTTCGTCGCATCTCACTCCAGTTAGTAATTTTATCTCTGTAATTGTTTGCTGAGGATAAAGATCTTGCCGCTCGTTGGAAGATCATTTCCAAGATCGTTATTATTTGCGACTGAGATGACGCGGAAGCTTTACAGTTGAGTATCTCGCAAAAGAATGCGGCGGCGGTCTCTGGATGTTCTCGACGTTTGTATTTGCACGAGTAACAACTCGCTAGATACGCTCGATTAAATTCAAAAGGTAATTAAATCATGCTTTGGAAGCCGCCTCGAAATATGTTCTGGAAGCATTCAGAGGCTCTTACGAGTTGCGCAATCTATGCGTATACCAATAATTGTTTAAGATGCACCTTTGGGTTTCATGCGTCAGAAGCGGCTTTGAAATTGCGGCGATTGAAATTTTCATTATTTCAAGATGTATGCAAAGCGCTCGCGAACGCGTATAAAAAGTTGCATTAAATAACGCCGAGATCGACCTGAATAACAGTGCAATGGATGATGTTACAGCTCTCTACAAAGATAGAGTATCCGAGAAAGTACAATCTGAGAAAGCATTTATTTTTGTAAGTTATTCGAGTTTCTAAAATAAAACAAAATTCAGACAGATTGTAATTTAACGATACAGGCGCAAGGAACATTATATATAATTATTTTTTAACAGCGTTAAATTGTAATTACAATAATCTCTACAACGAGCGTAAATTAAATGCGTAAATTAAAAAAATAATGGAAATTGATTTATTTTTTGCATTCAATTGTCCAATGTTTCTTCGTGTAATTATGAGAAGATGTCTTAAAGAAAACGTGTTATAGCTTGATAGCGTTACATATTTTAAATACAACATAAAATTTCTAATTCTAATTACACTTAATATGTTTATGGACAATTTTTAACAATACACATTTATTCTATTTATTATTATTTATTCTTAACAGCATTAAACACCGTAGAAACGTAAAAAGCGAAGAATAAACAAAACGAAGCGTTTTGTCTGATAATGCGCCGTTCCACTTCTAAAAAAGGCAAATCGATATTCGAATGTATCGAAGTTTATTGTTGCCTCTTTTCCGCGATGCCGATTGGCGCTCTCGCTGCGCTTACTTCGCGAACGGCTGTCATCGCATATTTTGACAGTTACGTGCGGTACGTATCGAGTGGTTAGTAATGTATTAATAACAGTGTAATATTAATTGCGTGCATTTAAGCAAGTGTAAAAAGTATTTAAAAAAAACTAAAAAGCCAAATAGCGCGTGCGAAGCACGCGCGTCTATGACGTTTGATAAAATAAATACCGTATTATTATTATAAAGATAAACGCAGAATGCACGGGTGATCGAAACGTCTCGCTACTCCGCGATTAATTTTTGCTACGCGGCGACCAGTTTACAACAATTATTTCACTCACAGCGGCAGGTTGCTCGGTGTCATCCTCTCGGTGATCCGCTCGCGATCGCGATCCGTTTCGTCGAAATTTCACGTTCGTGGAATCGATATGCCCGATGAGTTTAACACTCGCCACGAGATGCGACGGACCATTGCGGCGGCCGCGTGGATCTTCCTACCGCGAACCCCCCTAAGACGCGGGCTTACAAGCGTCGCGACGCGCAAGTCCCGCAATCACGCCGTCCGTATATTATATTTGCGCTTAAAATCCTTTAACGCCACGCGTGTCCGCGTGGCTATCGCACGACGAACTTGCGATCTCTCTCTGAATAATTTGCGTTTTAATTAATACAATCCTCGTCGTAGCCGTCATATGATTCGTATACGATACGCGTAAATACGGAAGATAACTTCGAAGCTCATGATAAACGAAAAAGTTTGTACAACTTATTGTGTAGTTTTTTTATCAACCGGAATTGATGAAGAATGGGGACCTTATCAAAATCGAAAGCCTTTGAATTGCAGGCGACTGGCGTATGAAGGATTTTGCACGTTGGACTTTTTGGCAGTACAAACTCATTTTTTTATCTACATCGACATTCTGTCTTTCGAATTCTGATGTATTTTGATCGAAATAAGTATACCAGTTCGTATTTTGTGAATGCACGTTTTCTCTGATTATTATGTACAGTGTTATTAAAATGTTTGAGATGTCAAGAGAAAAAGAGAGCTAAATCGTATTTGGTAATTTCGGGAGTGTTTAGATTATATCTGCAATCAACGAGCTTTTGCACGTCACCTCTCGTCGAATCACATGGTAAACTCCTACTTAAACGGTTACCAAATTTAAACTCGCGTTAATTAGCAGAAATTTCTAGGTGTGTGCTTCTGATCGTGTCATGTTTCAACTAGGCTTCGTTTAGACGAATCGGTTTCGTTTACGGTGCAAAATTTATATGGACAAGAGTTTGGGCCAACAATATACATACTGATCCAATTACAAGGACACAGATACTAAAGATAAATTATTGTGTTTCGTATTTTCGCTAATAGGCTATTTCGCGCTTGGATCGAGCGCTTGCTTCGTATTTCTATTGCATTATGTATCCTTGTCAACGTGCGTGAGCTAATTCGATGATTTCTCGAAAATATGTCTTCTTCGTAGACAACCGACATGGATAACAGCTAGATTCTTCGAATCCGTGGTCGCGTTCTCAGAATTTGCCCGACTGTCACTCATTGTCAGTTAAGGCATTTGTATAATTCACCGTCGACCTCTCTCTGATAAGAAGACGAAAATGAAATACGTTGTGACTAAAAGGTCTTCTATGTTCAACTAGTCATTTTCGCCAAAGATATACGAGATAGAGGTTCGTCTAATCTGCGCCGTTCGTTTAATCACAAATACATTGCATTAAAGAAATTTGATTTAGTTTTTAATCAGAATTTTTTAATATAATTTTCACTCTTAAAAATAATATAAACTACTTAATACCTACTGCGACTTAATAAGCTCTTAAAAATAATTTAATAATTTCCTCCTCTTTCTCGGCGATGTATATGCTAAAACAATAAAATAGAATAATAAAGATGTCATCTTTTAAATAGGAAAGTTTCTGGTTTTATAGAAATCGAGTTCGGATCCCTCGATTTGGGAACGACCGCTGCTGAGATACGAATGCTGTGATTTCTCGCTTGCGTTTCCTCGCGGACTTCGCGAAACTGATCGAAACGCGTCTATCAGGACGCCGGGCGTTGAAATGATTTCCGACCATGCGACGGCGTTGCCGACAGGAAAATTCTTATCGAGGCTGGAAGGTAAGTGAACCCATCCTGCCGGCGGAGGCTGTTTATCGATTGTAAATCTAACCACTATTGCGGCACACCACACGACGCCATTTACTGGGTTTCGCGACTGGCGCATAAAATTATGAAGGCAGATTCCCCGAGATGAGAAAGGGTGTACTCGCAATTATTAATAATTTTTAAGTTAATTTTCAGAGATGGTAGAATGGTAGATGGAGAGAATATAATCGTTGACTCTCGTTCCTTACTTTAATTCCAAGCAAATTAAGGCATTTATCATCAAAAATTGGAACGCCGCGATATAAATAATAAACTTCCCCGAGAATTCTTTGTCGTGATTTTAAATAAAGAATCTGCGCTTAACGATGCTCGCAAATTACTCTGTATATTCCTGTAAAGTGTCCCAAATCACGACAGTTTACTTATCGGATATCTTTGTCGCGATAACGTGTGCGATATGACGCGGAGGTGAATCTTCATTAATGCTTAGTCGAGGGTCCATTAATTTGATCTTATCCTCGCTCGTGCCTTTTATTCTTATTTTTAAGGCGGTCGCATTTGAAAACCTTGCTCTCATTAAGGTGTTGAGAAAATTTAGGACTCTCGAAAACTGCTCGGGAATTTGTGCATCTTTTCAAACTTCTTTCCAAATATTGAATCATTTCTATTATCGAAACAATATTTGCAAAGAAATGGATTACCTGAAAAATACACGTGATTTACTTTACAAGGATCGTCGTCTTTTCTACCGAGTTTCATTATTTTTATATATCACGCGCTTCCGCGCTCTCCTCATAAAGCGATCAAGAAGAGCCGATCGGTTCTTGCCGCATATCGCGAGATAAGCATCGATCGCCTTCGGCGTTTTCATAGCGTTACTACTCTAGAAAGTTAATGATTTTTCTCGCGTTAAGGAAAACGAAGATGGTGGAGACGACGGTGATGATCGTCATGGTAATGACGATGGTGATGACGATGACGGTGGAGATTTTCGATCGGTTCGCTCTGAAAATCCGATCACCGGCTGTGTGTCACTAGGTCGACATACGGAGATAGAGTAAGTACCGTGCATGCGCCCTGCGCAAGTCATACGGCAAGTCGCGGGGGTAGCCTGTGGGACGGTGACGAAAGACGAAGAGAGACTCCGGAGGAGCGGAAGAGAGTAGCATCAAGGCGATTCGAGAGAGCGAGAGAAGAGGGAAGAGGGAGAGAGAGAGAGAGAGAGAGAGAGAGAGAGATCGAAGAGAGAGTACGAGAAAACGGGCAGAGGGATAAACGGGGCAATCGCACGTGAAAAAGGGGATGCGAGCGAGAGTGACAGAGGACCCGCGAAAATGAGAGCATGAAAGAGGGAGGATTCGCGAGAGCGAGAGAAAAGGGGGTTGAGAATTGTGATAGGGAGACAGAGAGAGGGAACCGCGCGTTGGCAGGAGTAAAGGGGATGATTTCCGGCGTGAACGAGTGACGGAGATGGATGGAAAGAGAGAGGGAGAATGCGTTCACGGTGAGGAAGTGAGAGAGGGGAGCGAGAATGAGTGAGAGTGAGAAAGGGTCTGAAGAGAGTAATCGACAGTGGATCCGCGTTAGCTACCGAGGGATGAAAGGCAGCAGCCTCCGCGAGGCTCGTGGCGCACAGGAATATCTCGCGTCTGCGTTTCTATTCGACGTCGAGGACGACGACGACGACAACGACGACGACGACGGCGTGGACGAGGACGAGGACGTGGACGGTGGGCATCGAGTCGGGGAGTGATGCTGCGCGACGATCGATGACGCGCTCGTGACAGCGCGTTCGGATTCGCGAGTTCGAGTGATCCGCGGGTTCGATCGCGTCGAGCGAGAGATAGGTGATAAGCCGGTGAAATCTGGCGAACAGTGCAAGCAGCAACCCCCCATGAACGATAATAACGATCCGTCGAATCTCAGGATCTCGCGATCCTGCGCGGCCGATCGATTTTAAAGCTATCGACGATGGACCACCGAGGTGCGTGCGAGTGATAATTCCCGGTCAACGACGCGGTAATCGGCCTGTGACAATCATTCCGGTATCTCTCCGTTGGATCGACGATGAAATCATCGCGCGTGTCGTGATTCTCCTCGGATGCAGCAGGTAATTATTGTCTGTGCATGTAATATACATCTGTAAGAAGTATATCAAAAGAAGTATATTTATCAGCGAACCATAGAGAATTAATACATGTACACATTGAGAGAAAAAAGTGTATAATCAAAAATATTTCTTGATTCAACTATACACGGCAGTCATGGGCTGTCAAACAATTATGTGTTAATTTAACACAAAATACTTGTTAATTCATAAAAATATCATGTTGATACATGTTTAAAAACATAGTAACACAAACATAGTAAAACATGTAACTGAACTAAAGAAAACTGTCAATAAAACGCATTTAGTTATACATAACTTTTTTTCTCAGTGCAGAGATGTATTAATTCAAGTGTGAACTTATTTATTTGATAAAATAAATAAGTTAAAATAAAATTAATTTATTTAGTTTCTCCATGAAATTATTTGCAGTTCCAATTTCACTTAGCTGATGTTGCAGCCTAAATCCTCGTTTCTTTGGAAATATTTATAAACATGCCATAGATTGTTGCCCAAATTAATTCAAATAAAAAAATGATATAGATGAATAAGTGAAGATAGTTGATTGTTGAGAATGGATTCTGCAAAGTGTTTGTTACAAATTTTAGAAAAAGTCTACGGATTTGACACAGGATCCGACACTGGATATATACAATGCTGTTGCTAGAATGCTGGCAGAAATATAACAGTTTGTCAACAAGACATGACGGTAGATTAATGACAAAAATCAAGCAGATTTTGGATATATTTGCTAAACAGTTTGACGCAGATCGGCGGCAGAAATAGAGCAGAATCTGCGTTTGACAGATTTTGCTCGGTTTCTGCCGCCAATTTGCTGTCATGTTATATCAGTAGGCTTTATATCAGCAAAACACGATCTCAATGCGAACGCAGTTGATGCCAATTTGCTAGCAATTTCTAATCGAATTTCCTGCCATCTTCTGGCATATTACAGACAGTTTGCTAGAAAACAGGGAATAGATTAATTAAATCCCTCAGCATGTATCGTGTGCTTTCGTTCCTATTAATTCACGATTAATATTATTTATACGATTCTATTGTTTGTGTGGCAGCATTTTTTAAATTTTTATATGCAGTCTAATTTTACAAAGAATATAAATGACTAATTAATAAAGTAATACAGCGAGAAAAATAATATTTTATACAATATTGGCAATTTTTTCGAGTACTTGCATAGGGTGTCGAGTGCATGAAATATTTCCTGTCGCCAATCTAAAACTCGAGCATTAATAAAACCAACCTAAGGCTGGGGAAAAAGTCGTCCCTTCATTATTTACGGAGTATAGAGTTACGGAGTTTCGTGACTAACAAGATATTCTTCGTCTTGATTGTGTCTCGGGGAAATGGCTTTATCAAAAGTACGTAATATTGTCGGATGTATTTTACGCGCTCTCTCTTTATTTGTCGTAACGCGAATGTCATGTCTAGTAGAGGCGAAGTGCGGCTTCGTACGTGCGCAATCTTTGAATAGGAGGTGAATGAAGCGCGAGGTTGAAGCACATCACAGGCGATATGTAGAGCGTGTTATGCGCGATTTTATTTCATTCTTATTTTACTGTATTGTATACGTGCACCGCTTTATCGCGCCCGTCCACGTTTCGTTAAGTTCAACTTTTCAATCTGGATCAATCGCGCATGATAATGGAGTCACACCTAGTTTTTAATCGACTTAATATTCCATATTCGGAAATTTCAGAAAAAAAAGCGCCATTATCCCACAGGACACAAATGGAAGAACTTCACAACTTTCTCGCTCTCCTCATTAACGCCATAAAATTAGCGACAGCATTAAAATATTAGCGTAAATTGTTAATGATAAAATATTAATGTAAAAAGCAATAACTTCTACATTACATTTTCCTTTTTCCGAAAAGGATAATACATCATGTAATTCGTTACCTGACAGCGATAAAATGCAAGTCAGTGTGCAACGTTTAGAAGCGCAAGCGCCTGTTGTTTGCCTCGTGTTTTTGCCTCGTTAGCGAGACGAGAATCAAATTCGACTCGTGTATATTTTCTTAATTAAAATGAAATTTAATTAAGTTTCCTCGGAGAATGAAAATCATGTAGGATTTTTATGATAAGTTGGGGGGATAAGTCTTCCGTGGGTCTTCCTCAATTTTTATCCGCTGGGATTAACTCTTCTCTCCCTGCCGCATAAACCGGACGCGGGGGATGTTAACGTAGGGTTTGTCCCGCGTGCGGAATAATTCCGTGAGTGTGCGTGCTTGCGTAGAATACATTGCGTGTGGGAGTACACACGTGGAGGGCCGTATTACGGGGTCAAGGGTGGCGACGGGCAGGCGGAAAGGGTCGCGGCGGGCGCTCTTCTCTTCGACTGTGATTGCAGAACGGCGGCGGTGGCGGCAGCGAGCCGGTCACGGGGATGCCGAGGGGATGCGAGGATACCGCGAGATGACGTTCTCCATCGCGCTCGTCGTACACTGACGCGATCCCGGCCGGATAACGAAGACGATTGGCAGGATGCTGCCGCCGCGCGGGCTGCCGCTGATCGTCCTCCTCCTCGTGCAGCTGCGTCATCGTGTCATCTGGTGAGCACCGTCACTCGAATCCTCGCCCCTGTCGTGGAAAATCACGAGGGATAACTTGATGCTTCCATCCCCTCCCTCCCCGCCGTGTTCCAATTGTAGCGCACACGTGACACGCATACGCAAGGGGTACGGTTTCGATTACGTATCCCTAGACACACACTCCGGTAGAAGTAATAAGAGAAGCTTTTTCATAAGCGCGGCATATAAATTCCAAATTAAAAGATTGAATTGCTAAACATAAAATTTTCATATTGATATGTAAATATATGTAAACCTAATTTTAAAAATATATATTATTAAAAAGATGTAACCTTTTTCTCTCTCTCGAAATCTCTATATAACTAAAGCACTGTAATGTATTTTAATAAAATTGTAGCTGTATATAGAAGCTCTACGCGTTTTATTATTTAATAAAGCCTAGTTTAATCAACGTGGCACAGTTAAGATCTTTATAGATATTTTATAGATCTTTTTACAGATATTTCTCTAAAAGAGTAGACATAGATCTGTTCATTCAATGAACTTCATACTGTTCTTAAAATCATTCTCAGTACAATAATTATAAAATTTAAATTGCAATTTAGATTAATATCTTAATAAAAAATGCTGCGATTCTTAATTAATGTTATATGGATGTAATAAAGAAAATTAATGTATATATATATATAAATATACGTATATAAAAAATAAATATAAAAGGAAATTAGGTACAAAAGGAAATAATTAGATACTTGAATTAAGCTCGACGTGCGACATGGGCGATTGCTCGAGCAATTAGCGCTCCAATCAGTCCGCTGTACACGAGAAGAGACAACAAAGCTCCATTTTCCGGGCAAAAGACGAAACTGATAATTTTTTCTGAACAACGCCGCATACACAATCGAAGCGGTCTTCCCGCAATTTTAAGTAATTAAGAAGAGACAACGAAGCACTTCCTCCCGCAACGTCCACTAATTTTTTTTCAAAATGAAAAATATTATGATCGCGAGTATAATGATCGCTATGGACCAGACCAGATCGACAGTGCCCGAATTGGACATTGGAAGTAATTTCCCGAGGCGCTCCATTATTTCCTTTCTATCCATGATTTTCTTCGGTGTTTAATACGTATTTTAATTTCGATATCGTTTTAATCCTCGATTATATTGTGTATCTTCGTTGTGCCATTGACATCACGTCACACATATATCTACACATATGTACGACACTTATTTGAATTTTATATAAAAATATAATTTACTGTTATATGTTGTAAAAGTATTAAACGAACCTTGGATAAATGATTCATTTTTGTGTGTCAAAAAGAAACGTACATGCGTCTTTTTTCGGATGCGGATTTTGTTCACTAGGCCATATTTATAATAAAAATGAATGCCGAAGATGTTCGGAGCATACTTCAAAAAGCAAAACTTTTTATTTAAAAAGTAGATCTGATGGAACTTGCCGATATTCACGTATTATATTAATTATTATACTAATCTATAACACGTTAATTAATATATTTAAAAAATAGATCTGATGGAACTTGCCGATATTCACGTATAATATTAATTATTATACACTATTACACATTTATAACACGTTAATTAATATTGATATGTAATATTGAATTCCATTTATAAGAGACTATACCAAAGCTATTCCATCGTTCCAATATTCGTTTGACAGATTTAACAACGTACTCGTTAGTAAAGATATTTTAACAGCTTTAAGCTCTATCGACAGCTTTTGGAATTTCGCACTTCACAGGGCTTCTCTAGAGAGCACCGGGATGTCCGATAGGCTGGAGAACGTTACGCAGACAATTTCGAGGATACTCGATGGCTACGATATCCGATTAAGGCCGAACTTTGGTGGTAAGCTCCGAATCGATCTTTGCGTTTTGTTAAAAATTATCTTAAAATTAAGCTTTTTCACAAGATCACAGTTATTTTAACTTCGACAAAAAATATTTCATGTGTTCAGTATATTTAAAAGAACATTCAATAGTAAAAAATGAAAACATCAAAAAGTAAATAGTAAAAAGTGATTAATATTGCATTTTTAAATAATAATTATTCTATTGTTATAGTTATTATTTAATAATTATTCTCTGTAATTATATGTTAATAATATATTTTTATATACAAAAATCTTAATAAAAATACAACTTACAAATATAACACTAAAAAAAATATATCGAAATGGGCTTTACAAATGGAACTCATTTGAGTTTCGAGCCATATTTGATAGAATTAAATTTTAGAATAGAGCTCGAAGATAGGGCGATATAGAAAGCTTTTAATGAAGTTTTCCACGCCATTGAACGAGAGGCATGATCGCAATCAGCACTTTTAATCGAACGTGCAACGAGGGAAATAATTTGCTGATATTATCTGCAATGGCTTAAACGAAGACTCTAAGCTATATTTCTTTCCTGGCTGTTCTACATACACATTGTACACTTAACAAAAATTTTTTAGAGGAGAAAAACGCACGTTTTTAAGTTATATTATGTAACTAAAAAAATAATAACAGATTATTGTTTAAAGGCGATCCGTTGCGAGTCGGGATGGATCTCACCATCGCAAGTTTTGACGCAATCTCAGAAGTCAATATGGTGAGTAAATAAAATTAAAAAAGATATTTATATAATATAACTAAAAATTATTTTCGGTGCAGCATTAATTTTGATCCACTTCTGTAACACTCTGATAGCTTTGATATAAATTTAATTTTCAAATAATATAGGTATATAAAGTTAATTTTGTCAAATTTTAAAAAAATATATTAAATTATTACCTTGCGAATTATATTGTAATTTATCCGAATCTCGTAACATATATGTAAATCGACAGATGCTTGCGCTACGTTGGAGACGTTTGTATCGGAATATCACATGCATTGCACAAGTCAGAATACAAAATTCGTTCTCTCACCGGCATTCATAACATTCGCGTCGCGATTCGTAAATCGATTCGTTTCCCCAGGGCTCGGATAAACTGCGTTCGATCATCGACATGCGCTCGACAAAGTTTCTTTTTTTTCTCTCTAATCCATGATCGCGTCGTTCTGTTGAAATTTTCGAGCATCCTATTTTTACTTTTATACTTTTCACTCTTCCCCTTGAAAACAATTGGAACAAATTAATATTACATACGTTTCATATAATTTACTTCAATTAATTGCAACAAGTTCTATTAGCGACGTTAATAATCATTTGCATCCCAGGATTACACGATAACGATGTACTTAAATCAATATTGGAAGGACGAGAGACTCGCCTTTTCGCACGAGGACGAGATCCTGACGTTAAGTGGCGACTTCGCGGAAAAGATTTGGGTCCCGGACACGTTTTTCGCCAACGATAAAAATAGGTAAGTGCGATGACAAATCGATGCGATGGTAATTGTATAATGACGTTTCAAAAAAAACCTTTGAACATTCGTTCATTATTTTATTCTTAAAGATTTTTATTTAAAAATATTTTTCTTTTTATTCTTTTCTCCCCTCAACGCTCTGCCTTAACGTATCATTTTGCCGAATTTATTGCAGCTTCTTGCACGACGTCACCGAGCGCAACAAACTCGTTAGATTATCTGGCGACGGCTCGATCACATACGGCATGAGATTCACAACGACCCTGGCCTGCATGATGGACCTGCATTACTATCCCCTCGACTCGCAGAATTGCACGGTCGAAATCGAAAGCTGTACGTATTGGAATATGCGTCTACTATCGATCATTTGAATACCATCAGCATTCCCTTCTCGTAAATATTGTTCCTACATAAAAAGATAAAAACGAGACACAGCTCATTTTTATATTTTAAAAATAAATATTCTAGAAGTCAGTTTTTTAAGAATATTTTTCCTTTTAATTTAAATTTTCTTGTTTAGAATATACTTAAAAATAGCAATTATTTGAATATAGATTATTAATTTGACAAATCAATGAAAGAATATTGAATCTAATATAAACTGCATATTATTCATGAATAAATGAAAGAGTATGAAGTTCCAATAAACCGCAACTTGTTCTGAATTGCACTGTTTTGAATGCTCAGATGGATACACGGTGCTCGACGTAGTTATGTACTGGAAGGAAACTCCTGTTCACGGGGTCAAGGAGGCGGAATTGCCGCAATTTACGATAATCGGTTACGAGACCAACGATCGAAAGGAGAAGCTGGCGACGGGCATCTACCAGAGGCTCTCGCTAAGCTTCAAGCTCCAGAGAAACATCGGATATTTCGTTTTTCAGACGTACCTGCCAAGTATACTAATCGTGATGCTCAGCTGGGTCAGCTTCTGGATCAATCACGAGGCTACCAGCGCGAGAGTAGCTCTCGGTACGCTTTAAAAAATACATGTATAATTCCGTTAAATTGATTAAGATAAGATTTCCATTAAATTAGAACTAATAAAAATTTTACGTCTCTCTCTTCCCTTTTAATAATAAGTTTTTAGCTTTCCGATCTTTATCTTCTAACAAATTGTCGCTAGAAAAATACTTTCTTCTCATTACAAGTAATATAAGATATATAATTTTAGGCATCACGACTGTATTGACGATGACAACAATATCGACGGGTGTTAGAAGCTCACTGCCACGAATCAGTTACGTGAAAGCCATCGACATCTATCTGGTGATGTGCTTTGTCTTCGTGTTCGCGGCTTTGCTGGAATACGCGGCGGTCAATTATACGTATTGGGGCGCCAGAGCGAAGAAGAAGACCAAAAAGAAAGAGACCGACGAGAAAAAAATACTATCTTCCAAGACAGGTAAAACCTAGTCGAATATCGGATCGATAATTTTTTTAAATTCATGTTATTCTCTGGCTTGTTCGACTAAATCGATTTCTTTTCAGGGAGCAAAGTCAGTTCGCCTTTTCCTGGCTCCACGGACGCGGATATTATAGAGCTTCAGGATCTTAGAATGTCGCCTCTGCCGAGCATTAGAAATAGGTCGGGCCTAGTCGGCGCTTCATCGACACTGGGACCTGGAAGGGATCACGACCCGGCCAAATTTCCGCCGAGTTTTCGTATTTCCAGGACCGCCGCTTACAACACGCACGGTCGAAACAGCGGTCTCAGGTACAGAGGTCCGAGACCGCATAAACCAAAGGTAAAAAAAAAAAATTGTAATTTCCTAGACAAACTGTACAGAACTGTACAGAAAACACTCGAGGAATGTTTTAAACATTTTCGCTGTATCTCTGCGTTTCATATTTTTGTAAAAAGAATATTTATGTAAGATCGCAAAAAATGAAAAGAATTACCAGTCATTCGTAAATTTATACATTGCTCCTAAAGTTTAAGTTTAATTGTAATTTTACATTTAAATGCATTTCAGTCTAAAATTTGTAATCGGATTTTACAGATGTTACACGCTCTACGCAGAGGAGCTTCCGTGTTACGTGTATCAATGCCGAAGATCAAGGACGTGAACGTGATAGACAAGTACTCGCGGATCATCTTCCCGGTCAGCTTCATGCTGTTTAACGCCGTGTACTGGATCTTCTACTTTTTCTGAACGGCGAACGAATATTAAAAACCGAATTTCGCTCGGCCTCGTATGCGCCTAAAAAGGACCAATCGATTCGGGAGGATCCTTTCAAGTCTTCTAGCATGACCATCGAACGATGTGCAATATTTTTCACGGGGATGAAGGTCCACCGAACCAGCAGGTGATGAAAGTACTGAATCGAAAGTACTGCCACGAAACATTTATCGATAGAAAATAGAATGGCGGGGGACTCGTGTGTGCCAACAGAGATTTATGAGATTTTCGTTAATTAGAAAGTAAATATATATATATAATATATATATATATAGTGATAAGCAATACGGATGAGTGACAATATGTTCCTAATGAAACATGATGGCTTTATCATGTTCGTACGAGAAGGGTCAATAAGCGTTTGTGAACAAAATTTGCGGTGATATCGAGAAACAAAATGTATCGGAATAAGATTTGCGTCCGTGAGGATAAAAGTGATCCAAGTTATATATTTTATTTTTTAAATAAAATTTTTTTATCTGTTAAAAGCTATTCCTTGTGTATAAAAAAAATATTAATGATTTAACAAAAAATTTCTAAAATACTTTTCTATTCTGTTAATTTTTTCTGTTATCATAAAGCTTTATAAAATAATATAATACATATTCTTTTTCTTTTTTAGATTTGTGACTTGGCTCACTTTCATGATCGTCGGCTCGCTTATGCAAAATGATTCTCCGGCCCTCAATTCCACAAAATAGATTTAAGATCACTGTCAAAAGTGCGAAATTAACGGATCAAGTTATAAGTTCAAATAAAGCGACTGATAAAATCGAAAAGAAGAGATTATTAAAGATCGGCATAATAAATGATTTGTAGAAGCATTGACAATATATAACGGATTGGCAATAGAACATCATTCTTTCTATCTAATATATATTATATTATATAATAGTTATTTTCATAATTGTCATTTTTAAGTCATACAATATTTGCAGGCATGGATTATATCAGATATCATTACGTACTAAACTTGAAAGGTATTTTTCTTAAAAACTGCAATAAAATGTTTGAAGAGTGTTGTGTAGAGACAGTACATTTGTGGCTTAACGACGATTTCTAAATATAATTTTAAGAAATAAATATAGCTCTATAAAAATAAATGAATAAATACGTATAATTATCCGAGCAATTAAACACACGTCTACCGCGAGTAGATTTACAGATATACGGAAATTTTGCTTTCGTTATTTTACAATGAGTCGTAAACACGCAATTTCAAGAAATCTTTATTTTTAGAAGTAAATAGTATTTGTTAGACAGAGGCATATGTAAAATAGAGGAGATTCTCTATTAACGGTTATTGGCTAAGACATATAATGATTTACAGGGTAAGAATATCCAAACTTTCGTTTGTCAATTATGTTACAGACGAATGGATCGATCAAATGCACATATTTTTAACAATCCAATTTAACGTGATTGTTTTTATAATAATTAGATGTACATGTATATATACGAGCAGTTTAATAAAAAATAAGTGTACAAATATACTACATATTTTTATATCATTAACAATCCACCTAATATTTAAATCCTGTTTAACATGTTTAAGTTACAGTAATATCTCTTTTTTTTATATTTGTGACCACTTTTCTCTTGCCTTGTGGCTTTCTCCTAACAGTAACTTGTTATATATAATTCAATTTAGAAATTTAGAGCAACAATCCTGTAAGATTGCTTCATATATGGCTCCTAATATAGACTTCTAGTCCAAAAATATGGCTATATGTAAACTATTATAGACTTCATAGAGTCCAAAAATATGACTACAAGTCTATGTCGAAAACAGCTCTACATTAAAATTACAAGATAAACACAAGAAAATAGATTGTAATATATTTTATTTAAAAAAAGTGAATGTCTTTTAAGGAAATTGCTTATAATAATCTCTGTAATAATCATATGATGAATTGTACACTTATGCATGTCTAATATATAAAAGTATAAAATTTCTTACATAATTTGTATTTTTAAGTTTGTAATGCTCGATATTACAGGCACATACTCTTAACAAGTAAAATATATGTATATATACTTATCCTAAAAATACACAAGTTTTTCCTCTCTTTATCAAAACGTGCAGCATCGTCATGTTCGCTTCTCATCACATGTATGGAGATTCATAATATGAACTTAAATATATATATCTCTCTCTTTCTCCAATGTGAAATCTCTCAATATTATCAAAATATTTTTGGCTCTTATCCAATTCTACATTTTTGTGTACTTCATAATACTCTACTATATCACTATCTCATAAAAATATAATGAAATGCACAAGATTAGAGATCCTATAAAATGTAATGAGCGTTACCTTCTGCGATAAAACTCTGATATAGAATTTGGTATTGAAAAATACCACGCTACGCGTTCTGTTGCCTTAAAATACAGGCTTCAGTATCATGTACTTCACACGCGAACAATATTGTTCCCATGCATATCCATAGCGCATCTGACAGCGCTTATTGTCTCTCACGGCTCTGTAAGCGAGCACTAACGTGCAGCAGATCGCCATGTAGTACGGCAGAATGTCGTATGCCCAGCCAATACTCGCGATAGACCACTGTATTAGAATGTCACCCAAATAATTGGGATGTCTCACATAACCCCATAAGCCGGCAAACATCAACCTCTTTCCACGTGACGTCGGGATGGTTTCCGAATCTATAAATTTCAAGAGCGAACATGAGCTTTTTCGACAAAAAAAAAATGAAAAAGAAGAAAAGATGTAGTTTACTTTTACGCTTACAAGGTACTCTCGGCGAAACTGGATTCTTTCTGAACTCGTTTTTCCGCAAATTACTAATCAAATAGATAGCATATCCGATTACAAAGCCCAAGATAGATAAGCCAGCAAAGTAGTTAAGTTTTATCCTGAAAGTACATTAAACAAAAATTATTAAAATATTACGTTGATACTTATTTTTATGTGTGTTAATTAAACTTACTTCTGATAGAATAAAAATCTTGCGGTGAGAGTCGTCAAAAATGGGTATAACAAGTGACTAACACACGTCATGTATCCAGTACCTTCGTACATTACTGTAAAAGTCGTGAAGACAGTAGCTTCGCATATTAATCCATATCCGACATAAACCAGCTGCAATACGGAAGCTAACAATGCAGCTACATCAAGCTTATTAATTGGATTCTTTCCATCGCCAACAACCTTAATCAAAATGGCTGTGTTCGCGATCAACTGCAAAATAGAGAATATAATTGTAAGCTATATTATATCGATTAAATTATTAATTTATATTGTATAATCCGCTTGCGGCGAAAATAGAAATTTAAAGTAATAATTACCGTGCCGATGAGAGAAGCTCGTATTAGCAGCAGTTTAACGTCCAAAGCGCGAATTCGCGGATTAATCTCTCTGCCCTGCCAAAAATTATATATCTTGCTGTTGGTTGAGGCGTATATATTCAGATTAGTTACTGGACCTCGTCCTGCCTTGATGTACAATCCCAGAGCTAAAATCGTTCCCACAATCCAGCCACTGATTGACAATTGTACAACATTATTCAGGATGTAATCACTGATCGGTATATTCAAATATATGCATAAAGGAAATCCTGACAGTGCCACTATGGCGCACAAAAAGCCTGAAAAATTTTTAGGAAAATATTAAAGTGGCAATAGTAATGATTAAGTTATTAAGAGTCGCACGCAATATTAAAAGTATGTACCATTTACGCGATATTGGAGTCTCCCAAGTTTACTCTGCTGTCCATCTATGCTTTTCCCAATCGGTATGATCGAAATACAAGCCAATAATGCCAAAAATGCAGCGTAAGACAGCAGTGTGTATAAATTTATATAAGACTTCACGTCGGCAGAAAGTTTTACAAGCGCAGACTTGCATTGTCCTTTTGAGCACAAGAGTTGTGGTGTGATTACAGATATCGGTAGTATAAATACGAGGAAAAATGTCCCGATCCATCCGCCCCATTCCTGCGGTTTGTCGACTCTGATTATCTCTTTCTCACGTTTCACCACCGTATCCCATGTTTCGCCTTCATACAAGGGTTTCCCCAAATCCTGAAATAATTGATTATTAATAATTAATAATATTGTTCTCTATCGTGAAGCTTAAGATGGAATATAACAAATGATAAAAAAACGTACTTGATCTCTTTGCACTGAATATCCTCTCTCTTTTTCCCCCGGAGGATAATCTTGTACGTAGTTTTTCCTATCCGCCGGAAGTGAGACGGCTCTATCGATACTTCTTGTTAGTATTGATCTATAATCCTGATCAGACTTTAGAAGCGTCGGTCTGCGCGTCACTGTTATCATTTCCCTCTTCAAGCGTTGCTGCAGAGGCAACGATTCAGTCGAGCTCTCTGACTTTGCGTCGCCTCCTTTATGATTTGTCGTTTTGTCTAGTCATTCAACGAGAACGAATTTGCATATGAGTATAAGAATACGCGCGCGACAAATGTGCTTATTACTATACTAACCGCCCTCGACGTCTATGCGAGATAGAGATATCTTGGCGAGACGCGCGCTACGAATAGGTAATTTCCTGGACGACATCGTTGGCGATCTTGCGGGCGACCTGGCCGACTGCCTTCCTGGCGATCGCCTACTTGGCGACTTCCTGCTAGGCGATTGTCTCGAGGGGCTCTTTCTCCTGCTTGCTCTAGTCGAGCTGCTTTTGCTCTCAGCCTGTAGGTATACAAAAAGAATATATATAGAACAGGATTTTAGCTTCAAATTCGTTCCGTAATGTACTTTTTGACAATGCTCATTTATCAATTGCTTAAGAAATTACCTTTATGTCAGTCTCTCTGACCGTGTGCTGAATGCCTGTTTCAAATTGTATCCTGTATCGATCGCCTCTGACATTGAGAATCTTCCCTTTGTAATACTCGGAGGTATTCGGATGTTTAGCAAGAACCTCTTCGCCCTCGGTAAACTTCATGGTGAGACTTATATGTGTGAGTCGCGAGACCTATGTGTATATATTTTAGAAGTTTTAACTCAAAACTAAATTAAAATTGTTTATTAATTAATTGGTTCAAATATTTAGTTTAGATAATTAAAGCTTTTCCAGCCCAATCAGCTCAATTTGTATAAACGTGTGCATATGTTATGTATACATTATATGCGATATATGTATATGTGTATATATGTATACGGTCCTATATTCCATGTAACGCACAGTATAATTAGAAAAGCAAGATAATTAAATCAACGCTACACGTATAATCCAGATTTAACGCTTAAAAACGGTCGTTTGTCGCTCCGGACGCGCGCACTGGAGCATCGACGGACATAAATGAGCGATGAATTTCCGACGCGGTCGAAAAAGCGCGGGGTGCCGCGTAAGTTTCGTAACCGCCCGTTCGAAGGCTATACGTAAACGTAAACGTATCGTGGGGATCGGCGGCGATTCGCGGGAAAAGTACGCGGCGTGCGTTCTCGCGTCGGGCTGCCGAGCGGAACGCGTTTCTCGTGTACGCGACGGGCGAACGGACTCGCGGACCGTGCTACTTACTGTGCCCTGCGATCTCCAACGGTCGATTCCACTCCGCAGATATCCGCGACGCCGTGAAAAATAATAAAACTTCCACAAGTCGCGAGGTTACGCCTGATACCGCTCTGGCGCATCGTAGTACCAAGTAGGGGGAGGGACGCGCGAGCGCGGGACAGGGCACGCTGGCACGCAGCGCGGGCACGCACGCCACGTGTTCCGCAATTCATCCGATGCAGGCCACGCGGGAAATCGACCGCGCCGTGCCACGCCGTTACGTCAACACGGTGCGTTCACAACGCGCGCGCGCGCGCGCGCGTTCGGCCGCGAGGCGCGTCGTCGTCAGCCCTATCTTATCGCGGCGAACGGAAGCCACGCCACGGCGAATCGTCGCCGGTGATTCAGCACGGTCTCATGCACGGCATGCGCGATTCTGCGATCGGTTTTAAATTCAGCGTCTCTTATTCGGAGATAACTTGGAGAAATTTTACTCCGCATTTTTATCTCTTGATAAAAATACTCAAATATATATGTGACGTTCCATATAGCTTTAAAAAGAATGAAATTAATAGTGTGATAAAGATCAAATGGTAAATAAAGAATAATTAATAAATGATTCCAAGAGTTCTGTAATACAATGTATATAATACTATTTTATTCAGGTGTCATTGGAATTATAATTATAAAATATCGCGATAGAAATTGTGCGTATAATACATGTAATACATGTAAATTTATTTTAAATTTCATAATTATATTTTAGATTTTTTTTTATAATTTTATACTTACCGTATACTTGGATGTTACGTATTTGAATATAGTTTACATATGCGTGTATTTTTATTCTTTAATTTTTTTCTTTTACATTGCCTAAAATAAATAAAATTATATAAAATTCTATATAAATATAATAGAATTCCATCAAAGCTTATTACGATTATTGAAATTAGTAAAAATCACAAAAGTAAGTGAATTTATCATAATAGATTCCCTGAATAAGCATTGGCGAATATTAAAAATAATTCAATTTTCTTCTCTTCCTATAAATGCTATCAGAAGTATACCCCGTACTATTATATTCGAAGTATAACTCGAGATAACATAACCACATTCGTGCTTCTTTTTAACGAGATTGCGCACGTATAATCTGTCTGATAAGTTAACCCAATGCAATTGAAGTTAAAGCGCATTGCTAAAGATATAATTTTTTCCAAGATATATTAAAAATCAAATGTCATTTTTTGTGAAATTATTCCCTGATGAAAAAAAATTCTGCGAATTAGTTATTGCTTCGAATAAAGCGAGGCATCCAAGTAAAACGTATGTTCCCATTATATATAATTTTCGTAATTCTCAATATTTATCAACATTTATACCATTAATATAATTTCACATTTCCTATTATAGCATACCATATACAGAAACAACGAACAGTATAAAATTGCCATTAATCGCGAAATTAATTAGGTTACAGAGACGTCAAACATTAAAATCGTGACGTTACGTGTTTGCCAATATTGCGGCGGAATTCCGCGAGTAATCTGAAAAATATTTGTTTACAACGATTACGAGCATTGGCTATAGTTATTCTTGCTCGGTAACGCGAACGCACGCACATGGACGAATTTAATTTAGAAAATGAACGCGATCTTCTAGTGCGTATTTTTTTCACATGGTTTATTGTACAACGCTTGTGCATATAATTTTCATTTGTGATATTAAACTTCGAACCTTTCAGAATTCCCTGAAGGAGACAATTTTGAGCTCCACCGAGCATAACTTGCGCGAATTCATGGACGACATTCCGCAGATTTTTGTCACTGACAATCTTAAAGCTGTATCTCACAAAGAGGAGACGAATGGAGAGAAGACACATACACTTTTCGATAAATTCTCAATATCGTCCGTTAGCACGTCAAAAGGTTGCACTCTTTGCAAAAAAAAAAAAAGATTTATATCGCGAAAATATAAAATATTAAATACGTTGAAAAATGGTACCGCGAATTGATTTTTCATTAGATGCGATGCTTTATCTTGTAATACACACGAAATCTTGTTACATCTTTGCGTGTGACGGAAATTAAATATCGGGTTAATTTATAGATAACGTGAAAGAAATTGCAGCGTTGGAAGCAAAATGCGAAGAGTTGCGTGCTCAAGTCGAGCGTCTAACGAAAGAGAAAGAGGGGGCATTCAAGGAGATAGAACGTTTGAAAGATCAAGTAAAACTTTGTTGTCTCGATATCGGCGGACGCTATTATCTCATTTTTCCATTAATTTTATTACCAGCAACGTTCACTATTTTGTTCGTGTTTTCTTACGCTCGCGTTTCCCGTAAATATCTTCTTGCTCGTTCATTACTCCGAAAACGTCGCAAATAAAATATTTTTAGAATATTTATATTAAAAAAAAAATACCATTTGTTAATTTGCTTGTGTCTTCGCTATCATGCAGATATTAAATCAGAGTACTTATTGCACAAGCCTTGGTGCAGTATTAGGTAATCTGACATGGCGTGCTTCTAGATTTCCGCAAATAGTCGACGCTTGGTTATCAAACGTAAGTACACGTTAATAATATTAAGTAAAATAGCGTGATTTTCTTGCATTATCGAAATGCGAAATCTAACGAAAGACAAAGAGAATAAAATCTACAAATATATAAGTACACAGAGTGTCCGAAAACTCGCCCGCACTATTTCTTGAAGTAATTCGGGAAAAAAGGGAAAAAAAACTGTATAAGCATAGGCCCGGAAATGAGTTGTTTCTGAGTTATAGCCACTTCATGTTAAAAAAATCGTAATAAATAATGATTTTTTTTTAACATTAAAAGTGACTATAACTCGAAAGCAACTCATTTCCGAATTTATATTTATAACTTTTTTTCTTCTTTTTGAGACCCTAATATTGCAAGTTTTTTTTTATGTAACGAAAATACATACGGATATTCGATTAAACACAAAAGTATGCAATTAAATGTATAGTTAAATAAGTCCTCAGAATGTATCTTCTTTAAATATATCCTAACTATTCTATAAATGTAACTGAATGTGACACTTAAATTAGTTTTATAAATGAAATTCACATCTAATATAAATTTCATTTCATCTACAAACTAAATTGGTCCTCAATCCCGTAATCTTTCGTAGTTTCAGAATAAAATAGGAGAATTTTTGTCGCTAGTGAATGGGACTTTCGGCGCATTCGTTAATACTTATAGAAGCGTATTCCCTCCCACGAGCAACATTGAGTACCAATTTGTAATGGGACTACTCGGCATCGTCAGCAATATATCGGCGAGCCCGGAAGGTCGTCAATTTTTAATCACAAATTCTAGCGGCACGGAATTCGTGCAAAAGTTAATTAAACTGACGCCCGAATTGCCGCCGGCTCCCGGGACGGTATCACTGAAAAGGTATGCGCACGAGCTTCAAAGAATTACTTTGTCGCGTATCTCTAAAGCTATTTCCATCTGTAAACGTTTTCCAGCTATCTTATCTCTCTCTTCTCAATTTCCACATATCGCAATATCCCAAACATTTTATTTCATTTAAAAAAAAAAGAACGTAACTTTAACGATATCTCAAGTGCGACCGTGATTGCAGATTAATGTTAATGATCCTGTACAACGTGAGCATGAACAAGACCGGCTTGGAATATCTGCTCGAGTCACGAGTGGGAGACGCGCTAAGTCATTGTTTGGATGATGAGGCGTCTTCGGAGGAGATGCAGTTGCTCTGCCTTCGCGTACTGCAATCCGTCACTTACGATCTCGATGAGCCGAAGTACGTTCACGATTTGACGACGATAATACCGATCGAAACAATCGAGACGATGACGTTCGCGAAACGGAGCGACATAAGCGACGCGGCGAAACAAGTCGTCAAAAATTTACGGCACAGTCAAAAAATTACAAAGTAATTATTAAATTAAATATGAAACCGAACGCGTTCCGTCATGAGTCATGACACGATCGTGTCTTCTATATGATTCGTATAAAAGCACGTATAAGTAATAAAATGTTTCAATATGTATAAATTTCTTCGCAGAGATGATGATTAAACTTACAGTTGATTTCTGACTATTTTTTAAATAGTTTTAACAATAATTTTAATTTAACAAATAAACAATTAACTGTCTAAAACCAATCTAAAACCAATTTTAAATAAGCAATTAATAAAGTATCTTGCAAAATGCAAGATACTTTATTAATTGCACATTTAAAATATATTTACGTTGACAATTATAGCAAGTGCAATGCTAAACAAACATATTTTTATTATTATGATATTTTTAATGCATTCGATGGATCTCGATAAAATAAAATAAAATACTCGTTAAAAGTTTTGCTTGATTTCGATTTTTGTTTATATAAATAATCCACAATATTACATATAAAATTTTATATATAAAATAAATTCAAAGTTTTAACAAATAAATAATTAAGAAAACCAATTTTTTATATTTTACGAAACATTTAATTGAAAATTTTAAATATATCAATATAATTATAATAATTGATTTCGCGCTTGATTTTTGCTTTTATAAATAATCCATAAATTACGCTATGTGTCAGACTGAAACGCTGAACTTTCAAACGCATTCTCTTCCCTATCATTACAATAATAGACTATCACCAGACTGCAGACTATCCTTGGAACATATGTTCGTGCATGGTTATACCGCGAGGGTGGTCGACGATATCGATCTGCAAAGAGCAGGAACGAAATGAAAGCGATTGTGCAGGACGCAATGCACTATATAATAAAAAGAGTCGATATTATATGAGTTACGTAACAACAGCCCTTCCCCCCATGTAACAATATTAGTAAATATATTACGCAGCAGTAGCAAAGCCAATTATGTGGTAATAACGCATAATAATGCATAAAGCGGATTAGATTCTCTTAAATAATTAAATTTTCCATGGCAGTAATACAGAATGCAGTTTATATCGTTCCTATAGTGCTTATACGATTCTCGCCGTAACTCATATTTATTAACCTTGCAATTAATATGCTTAAAAAAATATTCTTTTTTGCTTGCTCTTCATAACAAATTATTCATGAGGGGAAGCGAGACACGTCAGTTGCACTGACCCAGCAGATATATCGAGGTAATGACCGCTCCAAATAAAAGTTTGCGTGCATTCCATAGATGTTCGATCGTGAACAATTATCTTAATTTAAATATTTTACAATATATGGGAACTCTCTTTAAAAATATCACGAGATTCCGACATCCTTCAGACATTTCTGTTTGCAAACGAATGAAATACGAAGTAAAAAAATTGGAGCGAATAAATTTCTCGAGATTGTTATTTTCATGAATATAACACAGACGGGAATAATATATTTTACTTCAACAGCAAATATTAATTATACATTTTTTAATTTACTTTAACAGCAAGTTTTAATTATAAAATTAAAATTGAAAATTTTCCTCCTTCCTCGTTAAGGAAAAAAAATACGCGTTTCCTCCGCGATTAACTCAACCCTTTATGTCAGTCCCCGCTTTAATTTATGTCATCCCCTCATAAAAGCCGCCGAGTTCCACGAATCGTGCAGTTTTCGCGGATTTTCCCGTCGACGCTCCTGACCACCGCCGTCGAATATCGATCCGCGGCGCGAGTTCTGCACGCGAGCGGGCGTGCGCGCGGCCCGCGGAAGATCGCGCCGGAGCGCGGCGCGACGCGCGACGCCGCGCCGCGGCGTCGCCGCGTCCGGGGATTGGTGCACGCGCGGAGAGCGGCGGGGACACGCGCGCCGCGTCGGGACGTCGGGTCGGGCGTCCGACGTCGCGGCAAGCATACGGCAGGCAGAGGCCAGGCAGGACCCTAGGACAGGCGACGGCCGGGCGGTCGTTTTATTGATCCTGGGGCGCCGCGGCGCTACCCACCCGCGGCGGGGTAGAGCCTGCTGGCGAGAGGAAACTTCTTCTCCCCGGCGAGGAGGAGACCTCCGTCGCGTCTCTCTTTTCGGCCTTTCTTCTTTTTTTCTACCTTCCGCGTGGCCGAAACCGGCGAAATCCGGCCTTTCCCCCCCGATATCGTCGACGACCTTTTCGTCCCCGCGCACGCGATCGCGCGCCTCGCGAGTTCTTCCCTCCTCGCGGTGCAATCCGGAGCCGGCCGGTGGGTGTGTGACACGTCGTGGTGGTCGTCGTCCTCGTCGTCGTCGTCGTCGTCGTCGTCGTCGGGACGTTGGTACCAACGCTTCTTGGTAACGCTCGGGAAAAACGGGCACAATCGATCGTCGTGGGATTCACCGCGGAGACTGACACACCGGTGAACCAGTGACCTAAGGGACTGTCGGCAAAGTTTTTCCTCGTCGAAATATCCACGTCGCCGGGCTGCAGTAAACGTGAAGGAAGAAGCTTTTGATAACTTCCAGGAATCCACAAAGAATTCACAAAGGACACTGGTGCGGCAATAACAAAAGTATCCTCATTGTTTTGCCGAGGAGGTTTGGAGTTCCCGGAGTTTATACAAAGACGATCGGTGGTCATATGTTTCACACTGTCGTCGAAGCCGGCGCAGGCCAGTCGAGATACGAGTACTGACTCGATGTCATCCCAGATATCATTTTCGAACACCGTGCAAATAGTGACGGAAAAGTGGCCGGCGTTCGTGAGCATTCCGAATTATCGCGATGATAACGAGAAGCAGAGGAACGGGAACGTTTAAGACCTGCCGCCACCGGACTTGCAAGCGGTAAGCTCCCTCGAGAACCTTGTCGGTGAACGACGATTATCCGCGCGGGAGGCAGTCTCACGAAGGGTGCGGAAGGAAGAAGAGGGATACGCTATATACGCGCGCGCGTTTCGATCGTCCTCGCGCGATCGACTCTCTCGATCGCCCTTTGCGAGGCTGTGAACGTGAAATGGACGTGATAGATGTGGCCGAGGAGGCTGATTTCCGTGAGGTCCCTGCCAGGCTAACGCCGATGGGGGCATCGTAAGCCGCCGGTGGGTGGGCTGACCGTCGACCCGGATCATTGTTTCGATCGTCCCCTGCAAGGGATCGCGGTCGATCGGTGGTCGGTCAGGTGCCGCCGGCGCCTCGGTCTTCGACGGAAGCCGGTGCTCCCCGTCCCTCGTCCTCAGGAGACGCTGAAATGGGCCCTGTCACCAGCCGCGAGCAGATTAGCGAGCAGATCGGCGACGATGACGGCCTGCAGATACATCCGAAACCAACGATCGTGGCGAACAACATCGTAAGTGTTCCGTTTCGCATTTCCGTTTCCCTCTGATTTTTTTGTCTTTTGTTTTCGAAACGACACTCTAAGTCTCCCGGAGGAAACGTGAGATACGTATCTTACCATTTCACCAGGGAAATTTTTTTCCGAGAATATCGACAGAAATATAAATGCACTCTGTATGCGACTTTGTGACTGTTCTATTTACGACTGTTATATCGGTATAGCTTTCTGTTATTTTTAATACTTATGTCGTGTCGATAATCGGAGACTGCAAAGCTGACTGGAAAGCGATATGAATCGCATAGAAACGTTGTATTCAGAATCTAAAAATGTGTCTGTTAAGCGTGTTTGCTTTTATCGGTGTGTGTGTCTCATTTTAATCCGTAAATGTACAAAAACTAATAAAATACAACGCAATGTCGAATGACTTTGGTTAGCAGCGGACTAACAAAAATCGATCCATATATATCTATTTTTATTTTATTTAACATAATATGTGTTTTGTTTTACATTGCTCAGCGTAAAATGATGCCAAATTAACGGCAATTAACGCGGCAGAATGCCTTAATCGATTACTCGCTTAAAATTTTGCTTGCTTCTAAGGAATTATGTTTGTCTTGGCTTTCTGCAATTTATATAAATCGAGGAAATTTAAATGATACCTTTATCTGTTATTTCACATCATGAAAAATTCAATTTTCGACGTCTAAGGTCGAATATATTTTTAGAAACGCCTTTGCAAATCAATTTTATTATTCGCACCGTCCGCGTCGGTATTAAATAAAAGTATAAAATGAAAGTGTGTATAGAACGATTATTCCACACGTAAATAATATTCGCATTTCTTGCCAAGTTTTGAGAAATGAAGCTTTCTCATCAACGACAGCGGGAATCTGATTTCTGCAAACACGTTGCGGTAATATCGCATTAAGATATCGTTATCGCGTTTAATGCTGTGCGTATCGCGTTAGTAAAATGCCGGTATTACCGGTGTAATATAATGTCTGATAATTAAAATAATATATCTCGCGGAAATCGTGTGAATCACATGCCCGTGCAGAGATCGCGATGAACAACACTCGCGACTATTTTCCCTTGTTAATCACCCGACAACGAAACTTGCGCGCCGTTCCCTCGAAACTATTACGTCATCGTTCATCGTGTGATTTAGTGCATGGAAGCTTAATTCGTGTCTTACGGCACTCCGAAATTTGGCACGTTTCGACAGCATTGCGACAAGATCCAAATCGATGCGCACATGGAAAAACGGTATTACGTATATATACAGGGGACATTTCCCGTTTCTCTCTTTCTATGCATTATTCTTCCAATGCATAGATTTCTTGGCTGATTTCCAATCGATTTTTACTCAACAACAAAAATGTAGTTGGATGTCACTGTCTATATTTAGACATCTTATCTCTCAATGCTGAATGTCTTTGTAACCGAAGAAGCGGCACGTCGATTTCGCTTCGGTCAAAGAATCCGAATGAGGTTTCTCGACGTCCTGATGTAAAAATCTATCATTAGATATTTTTTTTACAATCGAATCGCCATCAGAAGTCGCGTATCTTCGGCTCGATTATCGCGATCGTTTGCACGTGGCGATCAGATAATCACGCACGTCGTAATCGTCCGCGAGGCAGACAGGCAGACAGAGAGAGAGAGAGAGATTGTTGCTCGGAAAATCGATTTCGACTACGCGTGTAGCGGTTTCGCGCGCTCCAAAGAAATTACATCGTGCAGAACTTTGTACTCGTCGCCGACGATGGCTCAACCGCTTTGTTCATGAACGCGTACCGGTAAATAACGCGCCGCTGGTCGCATTTAGAGAAGCGACAGGGTGAAAGAGTGCGGGAGGAGAGGGAGAAAGAAAAGAGAGAGAGAGAGAAAG